ATAAATAAAGTTTTATTATTCTGTGAAATCTAAAAAATCTTAATACAATGAGACAAAGGCTTCTGTGACCTGGACTCATTGAACAACCCGGCAGAGTGGGCTGACTTAGCCTTAGAGTACCTGGTGAGGTGACAGGGTGCCTGGTGAAGGAGACGTTGAATGCTGGCTCGTCTCTCAGAGGGGACGGATACATCCGTCTGCGGATGAAGAAACCAGCACCACAGCAGAACAGCACCCCCATCATCAGCAGCACCCTGTTAGAAAAAGAAAGGACCTTTCACCAACCCAACATCGTGAGCACACCAGTGTCTGTCCAGCAGGAGCAGAGAGGACAGGTCAATCTTAGGCTGGGTTTTAATTCAGTTTAGGAGTTGAATGATTATCTTAATGCTTTGTGAGTCTACATCCACTCTTCAGGCCAATTAATACCAGAAGTTAGAAACGTACATGGAAAGAGAAGGAGGCTTCAAGTCTGAACTTTGCTTTAATTTCGCTGCTGCAAACATGATGAACGTAGCAGAGATCGACAGTTCATGAATGTTGGGGAACGTATGAACCAAATTAACCGACATGAGCAAGATTAAGTCTGTTAGAGGTTCTAAATGTTGGTGTCGATACATTTTGGGTTAATTGAACCACCCTATGAAGCAAAGCAACTTTTAAAAAAATGCACAAAATATGACCTTAGTGTCTTTATACCTTAGTGGCATTTTAATCACTTAACCTGAAGAGAAATCACTGGAGCTGTACAAACTCACCAGAAATACCATAGTCTCTGGATGGACAGGGCTCTCACACAGCAGCGAGTCCCACAGCAGTCCTCATAGGAGCGGCATCTGAAACAAAGAGGCACAGTGAGCCATGTGGTTCAGCAACAGGCAAGGGGAGTTTACTGGTTACTGGTTTACTTTACACAGAGGCCATCAGGACAAACAAAGGTAAGAAATGACAAAAGAAGGCATTTAGATAGAATTTACAGAGTTAAATTGAGAATTCAAAATCACACCGTAGATCAGAAATGTATTTTGTCCACAAACTGATTCAGTGCTTTATAAATCTACAGTAGCATTTTGACAATAATTCTTTGACAGACAGCGAGCCAGCGTAAAGATCTGGGAGCTGGAGTGATATCCACTGTCTCTTTGTTAATGAGGACTCAGACATCTGAGTTTTGAATGAGCTGCAGCTTTACGATTGATTTTAAACACATCATTACAATATTCAATTTGTCTGAAGATAAATGCATCAACATGATTTTCCAAGACCTTCTCTCCTCCATATGCTCTTAAAGTGGTAACAGGCTGATTATAAAAATACAATTACACCATCAATCTCCGAAAAGAAAATTCTGGAAGAATCAATTATTGATTTATTAACTCCTTGTGATAAGGTAATGCATATTTGTGTGTATAATTATGGTAATTCAATTTAGTTGTTTTCCATTATCTGAGGTAGTGGGATGTTGAACAGTAGAGACCCATGGATGGAGTCTTGTGGAACTCCACATAATTTTTGTCCACTCAAATGTGTAATTACCAAGTTGTCCCTGTCCCTGTCTAATAACACACAATAACACAAACCCAACAAACTGATTAAGACGGTTCGATCTTAGTCTTCCCCCTCTGCATGCCAAAGTGTCCTTGAGCAAGACACTGAACCCCAAATTGCTCCATTGGCTGTTCTCATAGAAAAATAGCTGCCCATAGATGCACATGGACACATGAACAGGAAAGTACAGCGTGCATTACCCACAGTTTGCCACATGAGGTTTCTGCACCTTGCAGACAACCTTGTGACAGAGAGACGTTCCAGATTAAAAAATTCAGTTGAGCGACACAGACCATATGTCGGAGAGGAGAGGTGGGTGGAAAAGAGGGGAGAGAAGAGAGAGAGAGGAGGGAGGGGGAGGAGAGGGGGAGATGAGGGGCTTCGTTGGTGTCACTGTGCTTTATACAAAGGAGGACGCAGAGAGGACACAGCCAGAGTCCCATCTCTTGCCCTGTGACCATATCAAAGGCTCTTACACTTAAACATATGTGTGAGCAATTTGAGGTCATATGTCATGAGTTCAATCAAAACTAAACTGGAGTGAATTAATTACATTTAAGGTACAGTGTGTAGAATTTAGTGATATCTAGTTTTGAAGTTGCATGTTGCAGCTGAACACCCCTCACCTCACCCTCTCCTTCCAAACATGAAAAATAAACTGTGGTAGCTTCAGTTGTCATAAAAACTCAGAAGGTGTTTAGTTTGTTCAGTCTGGACTAATGTAAAAACATGGTGGCCTCCATAGAGAGGGTCCCCTCAATGTAAATATAAAGTATTTAAATATAAAGGACCTTTTCTGGGGTGAAGAAAACTATAATTCATACAATTTAGATGAAATGAACTAGTGAAAACATCATGAGGATTATTCTACATTAAATTTCTGCCAATAGATCCCTTTCACCTAAATCTTACACACTGGACCTTCAACATGTGCAGAGCATTAATGCTTCCCCACTGAATAAGGTACATGGCGAGGATCCTCTCGATGTCCCAGAGCTCTGACGTGCTTCTATTCTCCTGTTGCTGAGACGCTGTTTAAATCTGGAAGGAAGTGCAGAGCTGGTGAGGTGAGAAAGTCTCACTTTCAAGTTGCAGATAATTACTTCCTGTCTTTACACCGTGCAGGACGCACTGAGGCTCACTGTAGTGCACAAGCAGACAGAGGTGTAATGTAATGGTGCCACAATAATCACATTTTCTGCTTCGTAAACTAAACTTTTAAAAGTTTCATCCTGGAAGCCAAATATTCAGAACAGACACCAACTGTGATTGATCAGTCTGTGGAGAGCAACAGAAAAGCTGCATTAATACAGCTGAAATAGTAACAAGGTGTGTGTGTGTGTGTGTGTGTGTGTGTGTGACAGACGACTGTGGCTAACCACCATGACAGCGCATACCTCAGACTCATGGTGCTGTCTGGCATTTCAGCAGTAGACCTGCGTTGAGTGTCCCTGGAGTCCCCCGGGCCCAAAGCATGAAGTTCAGTCGAATGTTTTGCATTGAGCCACATTGACAACTACTCCTGCTTTATTCACTGCCTGTTTGCATTCATACATATTCTTAGTAGCTCCTGGAGGTGAGGCAGAGAATTTAGAATACATTCCAATCTGTGTTTTTCAAAGTTTGAATCGGTGGAACCGCAGGAGACCCTCATTTCAGCGTTACACGATCTCTCAGCCTAACTTCGAGATATTTTAAGTGATTTTTTTCTCAGGAATTAACAAGTAAAAATGATAGTTTAATGTTATTTTTTTGCATGCTTTTATTTGCAAAGGGAAAAACTCTAGAAAATGAAGTGATATTTATTTATTCACTCATATTACCTGTGTCATATCCGTCCAAAAATCAATCTTTCATTTGCTGACCATTATGTCCTCAGACAAAGAGACTGAGACACTGATTTGTAAGAATAAAATGAGAAATGAGGAGCGAGGCTTAAATTCCTCCAGCTAAGACTCTTAAATTTGGTTGCAGCTAAAGCGACGCAGAAAAGGCAGATGTGGAGGAAAAGATATGTTAAGAGTCTTACAACAGGAATTAGGCTAAAACCCTCTGAATGATGTGGTCTGGGCTTGAACTTAACAAGAGACATTCCACTCTCATTTCTCTGTGTGGGAAATGAGAGTGCTACAGTAAGGAGGGTCAGTGTCAGGGCAACAGGCTACATCTGTAATGTAGTCTCATGGGTTCATAACATAATCTGATCAGTGAGGCTGCACCAGAACAAAGACTGTCCTTGCTGATTACCATTTAATGTATATGTAGATTGTGCTGCATCAGAAAATGGATTGAGCTCCGGAACTAATAAATACTTGTTAAAAGTAAAATTGTAATGACTTTGCTATGAGTCACTTGTTGCGTACAAAGGAAAAAGAAATATTGATTCTGAAAGCGTCTGAACGACCCACAAAGAGAGCGTCACACCCAATGCCCAAGCTAAGGGGGCTACTTTCATATATGTTTGGAATGATAACTCATGTGGGGGCCTGTGTTTATACTTAATATACAGTCTTCCCCACAAGCTGCGTACAGCCCCGACAACTTTCACTAAGAAGACAGGAAGCTTGTTGCCTGAAAGGTGAAATCCAGGCCAAAAGTTTTCAGATCACTTGGTACAGTTTGTAAAGTTTAACAGCTGTGCACCGATTTTGACATTTTGACAGTAAAGCAATGTTACTAAAACCATAGGCTGAATTAGGGGTTGATAAATTAAGGTTTCTGCTGGAGTAGCAGAATAAAATCAATGTTGTTTTGTCATTTAAGTTTTAATCATTTGTTTTATATACATTCTTTTCCTTCCTTTCCATCCTGAGAATGGCATCACAGCAGTGCTCCATGATTTCCTCATACAGTAATATGGTTTCTTCTCCATCTTTAACCTGAAACAGAACGCAGTTTGCCGGAGGCCGGAGGAGGAGGAGAAAGAAAGTAGGAAAGAGAGGAGGTTTCTCCTCAGAGTTGTTTTTCATTACTAAGGTCATCTCTCTTCACTGACACTCTCTGTCTCTGTCTTTTCGTCATTGCAGCTGAAGCTGTGGCCGGCAGCCAGGAAGCAAACTAAATTGAGGAAAGTTTGTGGGAGAAGCCTGTCGTCTGTCTTATCAGTAAAACACCTTGGACCTCATTCACCGACCGTTCTCAGGCCTCTTCTTCCTTAAACCCACTTGAAGAGCACATCTTACGCACGCTTGACAAATGAAATAATTTTTTAAAATAGGCGAAAAAAGAAAGAAAAGAAGATATTGGTGAATTAGGCCCAATGAGCTTTACGAGACAGTTTCAATCTCAATAACAATGTGTTGAACTTGGTCATGAACCCACTTAGATTTAACCAAGAAGTCTCACACAGTCCCAACGATGGCAGGCAAACCAGACCTTTGTTGTCATGGTTACAATACATAAATACACAGAGTGTAGCAGCAGGAAACCAGACCTTCACCATTGTGATTACAATAATAAATATGCAGTCCAGCTCATGAAACTGTCAGAAAAAACATGGTTATAGGTTGTGGAGCAGTTATGGATAAAAAACAAAAGAGCAAATATTCACTCTCGAAAGTTTTATGTTGTTTTTATGTTATGATATACTGTGTATCTTATTAATGACAAACGTTAAGTATCTGCTTCATCGTGAAGCAAATCAGTTTTCAACAGATCTCTTGGTCATCCATCCCACCTTGTCGGATGAATGTGTTTCAGTCCGTCTCCACACATCAGGCCGTACAGCCAAACAGTGGAGTATCAAATGTCTTTGAAGTTATAAAGATGGACAGACACGGCTTTAGTGTGCAGACTTTTAGTTTCATTGGTTTAAAGTTGTGGAGCATTGTGGTACTTACATGAAGTAGATGGGGTATCCACCTTCAAAATACCAGCAGTATTTTTTCGCCCCTACACACTGTAACAGAGAAGGACAGATTATTAAAGACTGATGCTAAACACACATGCATTGACCAGAAAACAGAGAAACACAACACAGAAAAGATGCTAGTGCTGGAGAAAAAAAATTGAATGTTGTTATATCACATTTATATGTACATTCATTTTCAGCCCTTACTGTCCATCCATCCATCATCTATACCGTTCATCCTTTGAGTCTGGGAGGGGGGGGGTTCTGCTTATTGGCTCAAAGTCCACATTCTCCAAAGCCCACTCCTTTAAAATCTCCATTGATGGCTGCCTGGTCCAAGTCAAGCCCTGGTGTAATTCTGGACATTCTCCTCTTTGTCTGCCCCCGTATCAATATTATCTCACACTCTTCCAAAATAAACTCTTCCAACCCCTCCAAACCATCCAAATCCCTGCTGCTGGGATCATTACCCACTCCAGATCTACAGACCTCATCAAACCACTCCTCATCCCGCCTCACTGACTTCCACTGCAACAAAGGAATCTGAGCTGAGCAGTAAACATATTATACTGCTCAGCTTTAAAACCCTCCATTACCTGCTGTACCTTCTCCATCCATACACCTGCGCTCTTCCTCAGCTGCTCCTCTCTCTGTCCCCACATTTAGACTTAGTACTGTGGAGCCTCTCTGCACCGGCTTAATGACACAGACTAATCATAGTTTGTTAAGATCCTTCAAGACAGGAGGTTTTTCTGGGCCTCTTTCATGAACCCCGTTCTGGTATGAGGCAACATAAACAGAAAATGGACTGCAATGTTCACTGTATGAATGTATGGGTGAATGTTGTTCTGTAAAGTGCTTTGAGTTGTGGAAAAGACCAGAACAACTCTTTCTAAATCCAAACCATTTACAGTCCAATCAACGTCCTGGCACTTGTGTGTCCACTGGATTTCCACTGGACGGTACATTTTAAGATTACGAAAAAGAAGCTGGCCTCAATAAAGATAACTTGCTAACTTCACACAGAAATACCATGCGAGGCTATGTGAGACATTTCAATCCTCGTAATAAAAAATGGTCCTATAGGTGTTGATGGATTACGTGATGGCCTCTGACTACATGATAGTCCTGGTTCTGCCCTGCCTGGGTTTTTCTTTCAGAGGCTCTGCTTGCCTGACTCCTCCCTCCTCATTGAGGAATTGGCCTCACCTGCTGGGAGTCTATATAAGCTGGCAGCTTCAAAATGGCTCTCTCTCTCTCAGTTCTCTATTGTTTTGCCTGTGGCAGTTGAGTTTTTCTTTATCCAAAGAGTTGGATTGGTGGGTTTGATCTGGGTTATGCAATATATGGCTGTGGGGACGAGTGTAGCTGAGTAGCTGTGCCATTTTCTTGGCTGCCTGGCATTGTTTGATTTCCCCAGAGCAGTCATCTCACAAGGAGAGGGTTGCAGTTTTTTTGTTGTGGTTTGGTTATTTTTATGTGTCGTCCGTGCGGCTAGAGCTATTAGCTCAAGAGCACCCCGAAGTATTGGAAGGCAGTTAGGAGGGGGCGCTCCAGAAGTCAATCTCCCTGTGCTTTTGTATTGTGACTCAAACCATGTGATTTTGCTCTCTCTGGATGTGCTTGATGTATTTGTTTGTATGTATCTCCTATGCACATTGTTTGAATTGGTGTCATATTTCACATTGATCGGTCATCTGTTATCTTATTCTTTATTTTANGCTGTACTGTACATGCCAAACACCATTGAACTCTGTGGGTGGTGTGGAGCAGCTCAGACCGGCCGCAGTGCTTTTTTTTTTTTTTTTTTTTTTTTAGTAAGCATAGTTCTTTGGTCGGGCAGTTGCAAAGTAAGAATTTCATTATCCAATAATAAACCGCTGTGTCTGTTATTGTGTATATAACAAATAAACATCTTGAATCTTGAATCTATTGCTGTTTCTGCCAAACCTTTGGAGGAAGCTGAGGCTCCAGTAACTCTAGTGGTTTCAGAGTTTTTTAGTTGGACACTGACATTTGATCAATATTTGCAGCTAAAGGAGAAAAAGTAAAAATTGCGAAGGAGAGATTATAATTTGAGTTGGAGCTGATAAGGGAAAGCACAACATTCACTGAAAAAAAAAGGGAATCTGCAGGTTTTAAAATTATAAAGGTTCACTGACATCAGAAACAGCAGAGATCCTTTACCTAAACTTATCTCTCAGCATTATCAATCTCACTCATCAAAACCAGGAAGGAATAAATCTATAGTATCATATTGTTTTGTTGTAGAAATTGCAACAGACCAACAATAAGATGCATAGCAGTGCTCTCAATGAGGATCCCCCAGCGTCCTCTGAGTCTGATCCCCCTCTCCTCCATTACTGGCTCCATTTCACAATACACAGAGCACCAATGCTGACATGCTGGAGAGCGCCTTTAATGAACTGCCTTTGAAATGATCTACTATGAAAAACATCCTGCTTCGTAAGTGACAAATGGTTGTAAGGCTTTATCACTCTGGGTGCTGCAAAGACGGAGGGAGTGAGGGACAGACAGAGAGAAAGACAGAGGGGAGGAAAGTGTGCTAAATGAAGTGGAGGACGCTGCAGGGATGTGTTGTGCTTCAGGGTGGGAGGCAGCACGCACATCATCAAGTTCCATTAAGATGGAGACATTTTTTTCAAGGATAAAAAATGTAACTTGAGTCTAAATAGCAACACCCACATTAGCACAAATACATCACATTCACTATGTTTACGCCTCCTGTCCATCCGACCGCAGACACTTTTAAAACTGATACTTCTGGAAATGATGAAGGCCCTGTTTAAGTTTCCAAGGTTGTGTTTTTGTCTGAAAGAGCAGAAACTGCACAGACATCCTTCGCTTGCTTCCATGAGTCTTCGAGCTCCTTTCACGTGACACTTGAACAGAAAAAAACAAACTACATCATCCTTGACTCCCGGTGGCGAGCGTTTCTAATCTTCTCTAGCAGCTGATGTACAGTCAGAATCTCTTTTGTACTTACCCAATGTGGGTGAATTGTCATGTGATATGTGTACATATAGACAGATTGTTTCTTATATAGATCTAAAATGCTAGTCTGAATGGAGAGAAACACTAGTGTGGACATAGTCTTGATCCAAATACACGCATTGTACTTCATTGGTTGTGAAGTTGAAATGACATTTAGTCATATCATTTTCTTCTGCTCTGAACTCATTTAATTCCTGGAGGTGATTAAAAAACACTCAGGAAATGAAAAGTAGCCCAGTGAACTGATTACAGTTTTCTTTTGGAGTATCATCTGCAAGTGCAGCAACCTCTTATTCCCTCAGAGCAGCTCTCCCCAATTACATGAACAATGTCAATTACCACTGACTTCTGGTTAGAGGATGACCCACTCTACCTCCTGAGCCACAGCCTCTGTCTGATTCTACTCTTAGCAGTGGTTTGTAAAAAATGCTTGGATGTTGAGTTTATAGTTTTGTGTGGCCTGTGCATCATATGTTGCTGTAACTACAGTATATAACTGCTAATAATCGGACCTATGGGAGAATAAAGATGTGAAAATTCAAGCAAATCATAAAAGAAATAGTGATTTATAAGTGTTTTCTATATTTCCTTTTATTTATGCATTAACTGTGTTATTACATAGACTGTATACAAATTTGCAATTTTGTTTTTAATCATTTGATTTTATTAAACAGGGCGAAACTGAGACTGAGTCACGATTGGTAAAGTGTAATCAGTGGGACCTCATTACCGTGATTGCTAAAATGGCAGCGTTCATCTGGGATATTTAGGCTTCATTTCTGGATTGTGGAAATAGAGATGGAGATTTATTATTTACAGTCGATGTGAATTGTTTTTCATTGTGATGTCCAGCAGGGAGCATCACAGGCCTGTCAATGGTAAATACAACCACTTGTCATTATCTTTATGAAATTGAGACTGGCAGTTACCTTTGTGGTTTTAAGAGGTGGGTTGTACTACAGGAAGTTGTACAGGCAGACAGAGGGTTTTTCTTGCCGTAGTCCTTGGTGAGTCGTAGCTAGTTAGTGCTTGTCCACCCTTCATCAGTGCTGCTATATTGATTTGCCCTTCAGCATTTTAAAATGATATATTATGAAAGAATATTTGAAACCCGTATTTAAAGAATATTTGTGTGAAATCCTATATTTGCCCAACAGCTATCAATCTAAAGTATTAATGATGTGTAAATAAGTATGAAAAGATTGGAAAACCCAACCTGAAGCAGAAAAGAAATTCTGCTGCTAATAGAACAGGAACCAAGGGAAGAGGGAGGAGTGTGATTGCCAGCAAAGTTACTTACTTTTTGCACCCCTAATAAATTAAATTAGCATATTAGAATGTTTGACTTTTTCTCTTAAGTCCAAACGTCTACAATCAGCAGTGATACACAACATGTCTGACACAGAGTGGAGCGCAGAGCTGTGGGCAGGTTGTTTTGGTGGCTCCGAACATGTCGACACAATGGCTTATTTGTGAGGCTGCTGGTGGAGAATGGGAAGATCAGAGAAACGCCTCCCATCCCCTTTCACTCAGACAATGTACAGTACATCCACTCTATTTGTCCAGACTGTGTCCTGTTATCCCATCCACACAGGAAGCGTGTAATTTAATCTTCAAAGAGCCGCGATCTGAGGAGCAATAAACCAATCTGCTCCGTCTTTTATCTCAGAGCAGCTGGATTAATGAGCCTGATTAGAAATGACGGCATCAACATTTAAGTACTGAAGTTCTGTAATAAAAAATTAAAACATCTAGAGTTGGATAAAAGCAAAGTGATGCAGATATAATGACAGTCTGTCTGTATATAATGAGAGGCTATAGTAGGTCTCAGAGGCTGCATGTATCATAGTGGTGCTTTTAGCTTCATGCTATTTTCAGTTTTATAACATACTCATGACATGCATGAATATTAAACATCTAACTTTACTGTCTTAGCTTGCTAACATTTGCTAATTACATATTTAATGCAAATTACCGCGGCTGATGAGAATGTCAGTTATTTTGAAGGTATTTGGTCATAAACCAAAGCATTG